TAATCTGAAACCAGTGGATATCACATGGCCTGGTCCATCTGATCAATGACGAGTGCCAAAGGGCACAAAGTTGGCATCACGTGCGCTACTTATTTCATTGGCATCAGCTAAAAATTGCTGCCCTATGAAGTAGTAATTTTGCTGATTCGTGATGTGAAACCAGCCACCCTAGCAAAGCAAAAAGCAACTTACATAATTTTTCTTCCCTGTCTTCCCTTGAAAATAAATTGTCATGGACTAAAGATAATAAATGTTTTTATTTAGTATTTTTACCTGCTGGCAAAAGAATTATTTGGTACAGTCATCCCTAAGGTTGGAAAAAGAGGGAAAATGACCTGTAAATTATTAGCGTCATGGGATGTAATAGCTTACCATTGGAGTAGGGTTTTCAAAATGAAAAACATATTCCAGAGCAACTTCCCGAGTATTTCCAGTGTATTTTTGCAAGAAAAGGCAGTCGGGCCAATTATTTCCTGGGAAGCATATTTTATCCTTAGGAACTGGAGGAAAAAGAAAAAGGCAAAACCCTGAATTTGTGGAGAAGGATATAATTAGAAGATGTATGTCGAGAGGAGGGATTTTGAAGGCAGTTACATTTCTTGACAAAAAAAAAGTCAGGATCCAGATTTCATAGTGTGAGCCTTAGATACAGACATCTGCCATGGCAGCTGAGCTGAGAGACAGGAGGAGAAGTGCCTAGCCCCTCCTATGTGATATAAGACCCAGTGATCCTGTTAAATAGTGAACCCACAGACTGACAAGAAAGCATCACTTGATTCAAAATTTCTATAAAGCAGCTTTAAAACATACAGAGATTAAGAAGCAAATGAAGAAAAGATAAAATGATTTTAATATCTCCAGATTAATGGTATTTGTCGTTCAAGCCACCTCCGTTACTCTGAAAGTTTCTGACTTCCCACACTGACCAGACCTGGTTATGGAGCTTTGCAGAAGGAGGCTGGAGACATTTCTGTGACAGCTACAGGACAGTGCCAGCTGGCCCTTACATAGTGCACTGATCTGCCCATGCAGATCCATTCCCTGTTAAATGAAAGAGGTTCAAAGTATGAAAGCTTCAATACATGCGCTCTCATGTGCTAAATAAGAACAGATATGCTTTTATATTTATTTCTATGATCGGCATTTATCTCAGTAAAACTCTGGAGAAGGCTTCCATATATTAGTTCTCTAAAATAACCGACTCCGTGTTTAGGTAGTTCCATTAAGATTGATGCCTTCAAGAAGGTACCTTAAAATGCCCCGGATCATTCATCTGCAATAACAACAACAACAACAATAAAAGCAAAGAAAAGCCTGCAAAGGTCTTGAGATGCCCTGAGCTTCTGTGATTGAGCCCATGAGAAGCTGGGCATAAAGTAGGATTTGCTCTAAAATGGAAATGTCATATGTGTCATTCTCCCCTTTGCATAAATTAGTGTGGATCTGATCAGAGGAGAATCAAAGCCTTCAAACTGAGCCCAGGGGGTGAGGATGGCTTAGGTTATGAGGCCAAAGCT